GTGAACTTGGATGAAGACGATCTAAGGAGGGTCGGCAACAGCAAGCCAAGCGGGAAAATGCCAAGTTGTACATTAAGAACCCGCAAAAAGGAGCTAGTAGGGCCCTATATACAGTGACCAATAGGCTGACTTGTTCTGTTAATTTTTAACCCCTAAGTTCAAACGCACGATTGGAAAAAAGGTTATAAACATTTACGTTTAAACATTTTAATTTAAACCGATTACGTAACCGGAAGACCATAAAAATCATCTATTTAGTACTGTCCTGCGAAGGGAGAGGTTGAAATAAATTGACGGTTAATCAAGGGTGGAAGATTCATCAAACCCAAGATGTAAAGCGGATGTTCAGAGACGACAAGGTGGATACGGTAGTCTTTAACGATATCATCAAATTTAAAAGGTCTCGCAGCGGCGAAGGCTCCGGCAACACTTGTGAGGGGGGGCCTGAAAGGTTGGCTTTCAAATTCGGTGTGTCCAAAGTCCAACGGCGTTCTGTTCTCCGCTTGCCACAGTTACTTTGGTATGTGGCCGACCGACCATGGCGCCTTTGTAGGCAATTAATGAATGCGTGTGTTTATGCAACCACTAGTAAAAACAGGTTTGCGCAATGCGTTTAGACTTGAGGCAACATTTCAGTTTGCACAGAAAGCGCAGGTCACATTGCACAGCAGTACGCCGGCCCTACTTAACAAATGAAGCCGTATGCTTTGATCACGCGGGTAGCCTGTGAAGTCATGGGTGTGTTGCACCGTGTACGCAGGTAAAACTACGATGAGAAGGCTGGATGTACTTAACCATCCGCTGCACAGGTTCATGTTAGTCAAGAAAATGGGTTGTTGTGACACCAGTTTTATAAAATTCTTGACGGTTTGCATAAACTCGAGTCTCGCCAGCCCACAATGCTGAAAGATTGAGCCGCTGCTTTGTTGAGTTGCTCGCTTTTCCGAATAGCTTTCAGCCTGGTGCTGGCAGGTCTTGCCAAATACTGTTTCTTTCTTTTACGGTAACTTCGGAAGGACGCGCGTGTTAGGGTCACTCAGAACAGAGTGCATCTTCAGCAACTTGCCGTGCATAGCATCAGAACTGCTTTCTAACTTACGAGGGGTACTCAAAAACAGAATTTTCTGTTTAAAATTGGATTGGCGGTGCTGCCCTCTCCCCCTATGTACGTTTACTAGACCCACTTCCCGCTTAGCTGACCAAATAGTGTTCATGAGAAAGCATCACAGCGGACAGTGATTTTTTAAATTAATAACCCCCCCCTCTTAACGCTCTCTGCAATTTTGCGATGACAAGCGACGCGCCCACATCCAATTCTGCTTCCACTGAAGGAAAACAGCGACAGAGACAGCTTGAATGCCTCGAGAAGCTTATGCGGCGGAAACTCTAAGCCAGGCACAAGTGCACGAGTGGTTTGCCCGTTTTAGAAATTGCCGAATGACATCCGAAGATGAATTGCATTCGGGTGGTGACCCTCCACGCCCAGAACAAGCGAAAATATTCAAAAAGATGTGCGATGCCAATTGGAGGAAAGGAGTGAAATTTTCTGGATACCATGCCAGAGATTCGTAACAGAATATTTGGACATGAGATACGTCGCGGCAAAGTTCTCCCATGACTGCTTTCCGATGCCCAGAGAAAGAACCGTCTCAGCGTGTGCCAGGAGTCGAAAGAACAAGCATAAACTGACCCGGATTTTTGTGAAGTCACTACTAGGACCTAAAGTTTGGTGCTACGGCTATGATCCTAAAACAAAACAGCAATTCGGTCCGTGAAAGACAGCTTTATCGTTGAGAGGGACGGCAAGTGAAATCAAGTGTGAAGCCTATAATGGTTTGCTTTTTCGACATCAAAGAAATTGTTCACACTGAATTTGTTCCTCAGGCACCCAACATTACTAGATGTAAGCGATTGCGTGAGACAGTGAGAAAAAAACGACCGAAATTTTGGCGATCGGCGGACTGGCTGCTTCAGCAGGACAACGCGTCTGCCCACATCGCGTACCAAATCAACAAGACTTTGGCAAAAAACCGCATGGCAACGGTTTACCACTCCCCTTACTCGCCTTAACCTAGCTCCCTGTAACCCCTTATTGCCGAGAATGAAGAACAATACCTAAAGGAGAAGTGTTTTATGAACATAGAAGAGGTTAGAAAAAAAGCCGCTTGAGGTGCTTAACAACAGTATTTCAGAAGAATACTAAACAATGTTTTTCCCAGTGGAAACCCCGACAGGAAAAGTGCATATCATCTAATGAACATCATTCTGAAGGGGTAAATGTGCTTAAGACACTATCTCAGATTTTCGTAAATTATAATTCTTGTTTTTCGGTACCTACTCGTATATTTCGACATAAGAACAATATAATTCTTTCGTAAGTAATTGAACACTGGGGGGGAGAGAAGTTCATTAAGTTATCGAGAGCGATGCCGGACAGGTAGATATAGGATTTCGGAGAATCTGGCTTTCAAGTAAATGGCATTTTCTTTCCCCCAACACACCAAAGTGGTGACTCATGACTGAATTCGGCAGCAGCCCGGAACGAATTAATAACCCAGCTTACCAGATAGAGCAAGGAGATTAAAATGTGTCCTAAAAAGTGCAAGTAATCACGCCGCTGCCAAACTAGCCATGGATTATGGGCAATGAACAGGCGGCAGAAAGAAAAAGTACACAAAGGTTCAACCTCAGTCCCACCCTGGTTTACCAGACTAACTGTGACATCAGTTCAATTTTAGACAATTTAAC